CAGGCCCTCTAGGAAGCCCACCGCTTGGCTGTAGATGGAGGCCTTGGACTCCTCCAGTACTAATGACCACTCTAGAACCTGGAGAAGCCGGAGCAGGGACAGGTCCCAGAGACAGAGCTTGTCAGGGGTGGCATTATGAAGCCACATAAGAAGGCCAACATTGTGTTGACAGCCAGGCAAGTTCTAGACATTTCTCTCTGCAGCCAATGCTTTGCACAGTCGCTGCTCCCACAACAAGATGAAAACGCAGAGGCACGGAGTAGAGCTAGAACGAAACCAAGGAGCACCCCCCCCCCAACACACACACTTCAGTGCCCTGCACCCCGCCTGGGAATTGGAGGGGGTGCTGGGAGGAGGTCCAGCGAGGGGAACCCTCCCTCAGCAGGACGGTGGGGTGCTGCGCAAGGGGCAAAGTGTGCAGCACTTCCCCCCTTACTAGCACATCCTTGGAAGCTCCTGGCCTGTGCACCTCCCACGGGAAACTGATGGGATTCTCCAGTTTCCCTTCTAGAATCAGCCTCCCCAGATCCCTGCTCTCCAAAGCTTGCCCACCTCCCAGACTCCAATTCTTCCTAGGCTACATCCTGCGAGTAGAGCCCCTCCTCCGCCCCTCCCCACCTTCCCAGAACAAAGATGGCAGCTAATTCCAGCCCGCTCAGAGAGACGCGCCGGCCTACAGCCGGTGTCTGGACTTCAGGTCCTCCAGACTGGTTTCAAGGAGCTTGTTCTCTTCTGAGTGGGAACATTGTCTGGGACCATGGGATGGAGCGGGTAGAGGAAACTGAACAAGTCGGATCCCCAGTCTCCCCAACGCGCCCATCTCAGAGCGGCCAGCGGCTGTTGGGGTCCAGACACCTGGCAGGAGGGTCTCCAGCTCTTGTCAGTCTGAGCTCTCCGGGTCAGCTTCGCGCTCGCTCCCTCGGGTTTTCCCAACGACGCCGCGAGGTCTGAGAGCCCGGGGCGGGGAGCGCCTGGGGGCTGGGCTCGCAGAGACCCTGCCCCTTGCTCGGCCCTCCCACCACCGCGGCCTCCCACGTCGCGTTTTGAACCCGCTGGGCGCTAAAGCAAGAAGGAGCGTGGGGAGCGGGCCGGGCGAGCAGAAGCTCTAAATCTTCCATCTGTAAGTGCATGAAGTCTGAGAAACAAATTCAAAGCAGGCGCGCCTGCACAGCCTTCCTGCAGAAATACTCCCCGGCATTCAAGCGCATCCAGGGGCGGCCCGAGCTGCCTTGTTTGGCTAAGGTCAGACGAGACTCGGGTTCTCCAATAAAAATAAATCTCAAATTAATTATGGCCTCGAGCGAGAGGCCAGACACTTGAAGCTGCAGTTGTGCAGTCTGGAGTTTTGGCGCTCGCTCGCTCGCCCGCCCCCGCTCCAGCCCTCCCCTACTCTCCCCTCCCCACTGCCAGCTCGGATACCCGCTGCAGCCGCCAGGGCGATGTTTGTGTCGGGGGAGGTGGTGCGGTGAAGGGCCAACCCTAGACGCCGTGCCAGGCCTGGCATCTCTCGGAGTCCAAAGTGACAGAGATACCCCGGGCTCCCGAGCCACCACCCCACTCCCCGGGGACCCTGCCCCTGTGGTGGCGCCCTCCCACCCCCCAGCCCGGGCTGGGACCAAAGAGGCCCGGGAAAGTCGCGTCTGGAAAGTCTTGACCCGGTCAAAAGGGCTGACATTGAGCGAGCCAAGACACGTTTCGCCCCGCCGCTCCCCTCCCGGGGGAAGCAGCACTTCCGCATCTTTGAAAATACTGTCAAGTGCGAATGGTGCGAGGCAAGTCCCGCTAACCGCTTCCCAATGAAAATGCTCCAAAGCCAAACCCTTCCCGAGGGCGCGCTTTCTGTATGTGGCTTAGCAATGTGCGGTGCCCTGTTTCGTTGTAGAAGTTTCTTTCTTTTTTTTTTAATGTTATTATTTTTAAACTAGCTCGTAGTTTTTGTTTTAAATGCTCAGCCAGGGAGTCCTTGGCTGCCAGGTTGCCCTGACTTAAAAGCCGGCGCCGGGCCGGGCGGAATGGGGCGGACGGTATCATAGTGGTTCCTGGTCCCCAGCCCTGCCCAGTCTGTAAGAGTGAGCCAGGAGAGAGGGTGTGTTTCAGAGTGTGGGCCCTGGGCTAGACCCTTGGACTACGGAGGGGCCTGGAGGAAGAGTAAGGATGCAGAGAGAGGGAAGAAAGGATGAGGGGAGAGAAGGGAAAGGAGAAGAGAAGTTGAGTGGACGGCCCTTTCCTCCAGCACAAGACAGCTTGCGTGTCACTCACCCTCACTGCCGGCTCTTTATCAATTTGTCTGAATACAAACATTCGAACTATTCTCTTTGGTTGCTCGTGAAAACAATGTGAGCTGCCAGGATCAAACCATCTTTCCAGATGTCTGGCGGTAACCACATGATACAGAACCCACTTGTTTACTGTTGTGTGAGGTGAGGGCTGCTCCCCCTTTCAGGAGCTCAGTAGAGCTGGCCGCAAACCCAAGTTACCTGACATTCTTAGCCACCCTCTCCTCTACACAGCAGGACCCCAGGGAATCCCAAAGTCAATGGGAGGGAAGCCTGGGATGACAGGGACAGTGTCCTCTCTGGGGGATGCAGTGGGGGAGAGACTCCAGTGAGTGGGCAGGTCTTCTCTGTGGGGAGACTCAACCATGAGGAGCCCATTGGGGGCTGGTAAGCAGCAAAAGGCCAAGCCAGCTGAGATGCAAGCCACATTGTCTGGGTGGCCATCTCTTCCCAATCATGACCTGGCCAAGTTTCCGTTTTACAAGCGGAAACAGAAAGTGCTATTGGGTCCCAGGGCGAGCACAGCAGAGCAAGTGCTCCTGTGGGTCCCCTTTTCTAGGAGCACTTCTTGTGGGGGAGGCCACTGGTGCCAAGTGGAGGGGGGTGGGGGCAGCTCCAGGGCTGTCAGACTGACTCCTGGTCCACTCAGGAAAGGCAATCTGTCATTTGTGGGGCCAGCAGGAGGTGAAAAAAGAAACCTATCAATCGTGTTTGCCACAGAGGTGCTTTCTAAAGAACCAGGAGGTGTGTGTGTGTGTGTGTGTGTGGAGGGCAGGGGTAGCCCCTGCAAGCAGGGTGGTGGTGTTTAATGGGCCCCAAGACTGCTCAGCACCAGGAGGGGGCACCTCTGTGGTGTTGCAATCCTTTCTGGCTGAAAAAGGAGCAATGGGCTGAGGGTGCCAGGGTTCCCCGCACCCTCCAAAGAGCCCCTGTTGTCATTTGAAGGTCGGTAGAGAGTCTGGGCTGAAAAGGAAACAATTTGGGGTTTGAAAGGATGTAATTCATTCTTCCTTTCCCTTTAACCTCTTTCCTCTCTGGAAAGCATGTGGAAATACTGAAGGAAGAGCAGGAGGGCGGGAGGGCGACTGTGGGGAGGAAAGGGTTAAGCCTGATTTCTTTTAATTGAGCTCCAGAACTGGTGGCCCCAGGCAAGGGGGGGGGGGTGGAACTGACCCCGCTAGCGGTAACCAGATGTGGCGGTCCCAGGGGAGCCCCGGAGCAGACCCCTGGATTGAGAAGCAGACAGGACTGGGGGGGAGTGTTGGGGGGTTGGACAGCCCCCATCCCACCATCCACCACCCCCAACCCCCCCACTCCCACACCGAGCCTCAATTGCTGGCGGGCTGCACCCGCTGCTCCAGGTCTAGTCACGTTCAGACCCATGTGTATATTCGAACCCCAAATTGGAGCTGAATTGATGAGACTAATTTCGAGAGAGGGAGGAGGGAGGGATGGAGGGAGGCAAGCCAGCTCTCCGGACTCCATTGCTCCTGAAGAAATAAAGAATTAGTCACCTTTTTCGTCGCCGTGGACACCTTTTTGAATTTTTTTTCCTTCCAATTCAATCGGATCTTCTCTGGATTTTTTTGTTTTGTTTTGTTTTCTCTCTTTTTCCGTGCGGACTCTTAAATAAAAGTGAGCAAGTCCCAAGCGTGGTCTTCAGAGCGTGGAAAAGGTAACCTGTTGTGGAGATCCGGGAGGAGTCAGGACCCCAGGGGCTGCCGCTGTTGGAGCGCGCGGAGGCGCAGCCACGGGACAAGGGGGCCTCCGGGTGGGCCGGACCGAGAGGTGGGCCGAGGGGGAGGCCGACCTCGCGGCTGGGTGGGGATGTCAGAGTGCCTTTGCGTGGTGAGTTCCCGGGACCTGCTGACCAGCCGCAGTGTCAGTTCCTTGGGGGCCGGGGTGGTGCAATCGGAAGGATGATTCTGACCCAGAAGTTCGGGTAAGCGCGAGGGGTTGGACCCCAAAAGATGCGAATACAGGTGGGTGCCGAGGGTGCGGCGGACGCACCGGGCGCAGGGCCAAGGGTGTCCCTCTGCTACCTAACAATGCGCCGGCAGGGGAGCCGCGCCCTCGACGGCGCTTGGCAGCCCGAACCATCCCGGAGTCCGCGCTGATGAATGGTCGAGCCGCTCTGCGAATCCGCTGCTTCTGGGCAGTCAAGGGCCCGAGTGGAAAAAGTTCCACCGGGCGCACTTTCCAGTGGTCGGTTTACCTTGGTCTGTGTCCGGCTCTTCCCCGGCATCGGGCGCCAGGTTATCCCCAGCTCGATTAAACTCTCCGCCATCCCCCATCACCACCAAAAAAAGTTTGACTCCGGCTGGAAAAAGCATTAATGAACGTATCTGTGGGAAGAAACGGAAAGTGAATGAGTCAGGAGGGCCACCTTCGGCCAACGGCCCTAGGAATAGGAAAGAGGCCAAAGGCGTTTGGCTTTAGTTTGGGGCGGGGGTGATGGTGGTGGTGGCGAGGGGGTTGCAGACTGCAGGAATCAGGGCGCGGGCGCGGGGCGTGGAGCCCGTCATTGTTCCCGGCCAGCTCTTATCTCCCAGAAGCAAGTATCCTGTGTGCGCAGTGCGTGAATGCGTCGGGCATCTCCGCGTATATTTATATAGTGTGTGATGCGAAAAGCAGGACCCGGCGGCGAGGGGAGGAAGAGGGGGTGTGGGGGGTGGAAAGAAGAGAGCGAAGAGAGAGAGAGCGGAGAGAGAGAGAGAGAGAGAGAGATAGGACTTCCTCCCCGATTCGCAAAGTGAAGTCACTTCCCAAAATTAGCTGAAAAAAAGTTTCATCCGGTTAACTGTCTCTTTTTCGCTCCGCTACAACAACAAACGTGCACAGGGGAGCGAGGGCAGGGCGCTCGCAGGGGGCACTCGCTGAGGGCCCAGGGCGCCAGGGAGGCCGCGCCGGGCTAATCCGAAGGGGCTGCAAGGTCAGGCTGTAACCGGGTCAATGTGTGGAATATTGGGGGGCTCGGCTGCAGACTTGGCCAAATGGACGGGACTATTAAGGTAAGCGGCGGGGCACTGGGCGCGGGGCGGCGGGGTCCCGGAAGACGTGGCGGCTTTCCCTTCCTTCCGCGCCCCGGCTTCGCGCCGTCTCCGGGGCGCTAGGGGTGGCGAGTCTCCCTCTGGGGTGATCTGTCCGGCTCTCGGCGGAGAGCAATCTACCTCAAAACCCCCTGCCCTGCTGTGAAGCCTGGCCCCCTCCCACCGCTTCGCCGGCTGGACTGCGGGAGGGGTTGGCGTGCAATCGGGAGACCTTGGGCGCGTAGCGAAGTCCGGGGCTGAAGAGCCCCGTCCGGGTCCGTCGCTCCCACCAGCAACCAGGGCGTCCCGGCCTCGGCTCCGGGCTCTTGCCCGGAGGACGACCGGCTCCGCCTGGCCAAAGAGGCCGAAATCGGCCGGGGGTTGCTGCGACCCGGAGCTCAGGGGTCCCTAGCCGGTGGAACCCTGGCGCGGATACCCGGATTGGCTGCGGGAGGACTGGCGAGCAAGGGAGTGTGTCCTGGGTCTGCCTGAGCCGGCTCTTCCAGATGGAAGCCCCTGTTTACATGTCAGCGCAAGCTGGTTTCCCTTCCCTCTCTGTCCTCCTGAGGCCGGTTATCGGCTCCCCGGGACTAACCGGCCAGCCCCGCCGCTAGTGGAACTAGGATTCTACTTCTCGGCTTGGGTCCACACAGCTCCTCGGCGGCTTGGCCCGCGGCGCCCAGACGTGTGCCGGCCGCAGGGGCAGGGATCCGGAGCTGCCTTTCCAGGAGACGGTCCCCGCGCCCTTCCGAGCCGCTCCGCCAGGCTAGCCAGTCCTCCACCCTCGCCGCCACGCCGGAGGAGGTTGGGTTGCAAAGTGCAGCCTCCAAGGGCCGGCGAGGGTCTGGGTTCCGTGTCACACTTGGGAAGGGTGACTGCTGCTCCCTCGGAAAGGGGGAAGTGTGGCGAGAAGTCTAGAGAAGGGACACCCCCTAATACCACTGGCCTTAGAGGACCTAGGGGGAATGAATGGGGCTCGAGTTAACTGCGAGGCTGCCGCGCGACGCCAAGCCAGAACTTGTCTGGAAAAACGATTAGGCTGGCGAGGTGAGGACTGGCAAGGCGCGCCATTCCCCCAGAAACCCAAACGAGTCGACTCCGCGTTCAGGGCTGAGTGAGAAGAGATGGGGAGGATTCAAGAGATTTTTATCGACTGGGTGGGGTGGTGGTTTTTATTTTCTAAGTTGTATGTGTGTGTGTTCGAAATTTGCTGACTTAGGCACCAACCGAATAGAATTGAAAATCTGGAGATGAGATGACTGCAATGGGGAGTGACGGGGAGTGAGAACTGGGGTTCCTCAATCTCAAAGAGAGTGAGTGGGAGAGGATTCTTGGGGATACCTGGGAGGAGGAGAAGATACCCGGGCCACCCCGGGCCCATGTCTCTGCTTCCTGTTGGTGTGGGCACACAGGTGGCTCTGCTCCCCCAAGTTTAATAACGGCATGTTTCACCTCCCTGCACTCAGAACCCCCTGGCACTTAACCCCCACCACCCGCCAAGGCACTCCTTCAGATAGGGGAAGGTGGCTCCAGGGTCTAGATGTGGACACCCTAAGGAGAAGTGAAGCAATATCTCCACACTGCTCAGCCCTCCATGCACAGGCTCTGGGCCGAGAGGGAGGAAGCTGTGGTCTGTGTACCCAGGATGTGCTAACCCTTCAGATGCACACACAGGGATTGGCAGGACAGGCGAGAGAAAGCCTCAGACCAACTGCTGTGGCTACCGAGGAGGAGAGCTGAGGGCCTTCCTTCTGTGGGTGGAGGGAGCCTGGGAGTCCCTCCCCAAACTTCCCAGGAGCACCCTAGGCTCTCATTCATGTTCCTTAATGACATTGGGGCGCTTCCAGAGCAGTGGTGTTTCAGACCCCAGCAGTTAAGGGATCTGCCTCTACTATGTACTTTGGTATTTAAATAGTGTGGAAGCCACAGTTTCCTGTTCTGTGTGACCTTCGGATCTTGGGGTTTCCAGATCCCACTCCCACCTTGGCTTAACTGCTAGGAGAAGAGAGTGGGCCAGCTGACTTCCGTGAAAAAAAAATGCACAAAACAGTAAGCATGTTTGAGCTTCATAAACTGCAAAAACGAAACAACGGGACTAAGTTACCTCTACGGTACTGTATTTCCAATCTTCTCTATGCCTAAAATATTACGATCATGGACTCTTACCCTTATGGAAGCCCAACTCCGTGCTCTGCAGGCATTGGTTTAGAGACAATGGATCACGGCTAATTTGTAGACACAAATCTGAATGTGCACTTTTACTTTGAACACCCTAAGGGGGGAAATCGACTGTGAGTGATGCTAGCATGTTGATTTTCTGCACCTGCATATTTCTTCCTCAAACATGGGCATGCATATGTTTCAAAATGCCTGGAGGTCTCAATGCTCAGGTGGCATTTGGTCCAGGATTTCAAGTCTGAGTTTCTTCACAGAAATCCCTTATTTTGTGTAGAATTTGCATAAGTCCATGCAATCACCAAATCCTTACCTAATGTCTGTGTGATGATAAGTTCTACGGAAATATGTCCTCCTCTCTTTCCCATGAAAGCCTTTTGGGAAAGCTCTGAGCACCACTGGGGAGCACCCAGATTTGTGGGAGCCACACTGCTCTTGTTTTGTACAAACAAGTTAACTGCAGTATCGAACAACAGCTGGCCCCACCCCTGCTCCCCACAGTGATGATATCAGTGTTGAAAAGCACGTGACACTGCTTTCTGCTTTAAGAACTGACCTGGTTTCAAAAACTACATCTTAGTGCTATGTCTATTTTCAATGAACCCCTCTATCTCTTCTATGGACCTTTGGTTCAAAGTGTGGGGTACATTAATGATGGAGAATGAGCAGTGCTGATATAGATGTGCTAGATGAAACTGGGAAATAGAGAAATGAGCAGCACACTTGGAATCAAAAGGCTTGAGTTCTTTCTCAGCTCTAAAATGTATTGCTGTGGGCTATATAGTCTCGAGTCTCAATTTCTTCATGTATAAAAAGAGGCCAGATCACTTCAATGCTACAAGCCACAGATAAGGATTAGCTAGAATATGCTTCCTCAGCCAGATGCACATCAGTTGAACTCCCTTGGGATACAGCTTGTGAAGACTGGTTGGTCAGAAAGTTGGATCAGAGGTCTAGATTTAGAATATATATTCCATTAAGTCTAACAACTGTTTATGAGTTGTCTTTTATGAATGTTTTTCAAAAAGATCATGAAAAATGGAATTAAAAGATAAATTTATTTGAGTACCAAAAATGTTAAAATCCATGCATAGGATACATGTTTAAAATGTTCATAAATGTATTAACGAAAAACTACACACATTGCTTTTTGCATCATAATTAACTTACCTTTTAATTCTGTTTCTCCTGGACTTTTGGAAGTACTTTGGTAGATTCTCAGCCTTTACTTTGTGTATTGAGGATAAAGCAATAACAGCATTATGGTGGAGGTAGATATATTCAGAAAGGGAGAAAGGCATCCGTGTCCAGTGCTGGTGGTACATGAAGAGCAACAAAGTGGGCTGGAGGGTGCACAGTTGTGCCGGCCAGGCTGGTCAAGGAGGATCCTGTAACAGACACCACTGAGCAGAGCTACCAGGCATTCTTACCCTTTACTTTGAAGAAGTAGAACATGACACAATCAGCAAATGATGGGAGTGCAAAAGGGGAAGAAAAACAAGTTACTGTGAAGCTCTGTGAGCCAGTGGATTGACAATGCAGCATGCAGCCTAGGAGAGAATGCCCGGTTGGGCAGGCAGCACTTGAGACCAGAGACCTGACTTTTGTGCGGATTTCAGACAAGAAGGGTTCTGGGGCTTGAGCTTTCCCTGTTTTGTGTTCGAATAGATTCTACTAGAATGCTGTCTTCCACTTGGGCTCCTGTTCAAATTTGAATTGACACTAAGTTTGCAGTTTTAGAGCTTGCCAACTCTGCAGTTTGACATTCTTACTTAACGGGTGTGCCCAGGGGTTAAATGAACTGTTCAAGATTGCACAGCTAATTACTGGCTGAGTCAGGATGACAGTTCAGGGTTCTGAACCCATAGGCTTGTGTTCTTTCCATGATTCCCAGAATGTATCACTTGCTTTTACTACATCATTATGAATCGTAGAATCCTGGAAGCAGTGTGTGTGTGTGTGTGTGTGTGTGTGTGTGTAGTGTGAGAAAGAGAGAGAGACCTTTAAAATAAATCATGAAGTATAAGTATCTGGCAAATTGAACTAAAGACTCTTTGGTTATTTAATGAATACAATATTATTGCCATCTTGAATTATTCCCATACTTAAAGAATAAACTCCAAATTTTCACATAGGATTTTTAGACAAGTGTTTGCCCAAATGAATCCTTGTTTTTCCTGTAGACAAAATAAATAAAGTCTCCATGATGAAGGGCCAACCCAAAACGCATTATTTTATTTAAATAAACAGGCCCCTCAATAAACCATGAGCAGGTGGATTGAATTATTATTTTAACTCTCGATAATTGAATGCTTGGCTAAGTAAAATGTACTCATATGTATTAGAACATATATTTTGGATCCTTTTTCCAAGCTGTGCAATAAGTAAGTCTTTAAATAAAATTGTGTTGTATTATTATTTGAATGAGGGAGAAAGAAAGAAAGAAAGAGAGAGAAATCTCATTGCTTCACTTTCCACATTACCTACAAGGCTGGACCAAGCTAGTGACAGAAGCTGGGAACTCAATCAGTGTCTCCCATGTTAGTGCTAGGGACTCAGACACACAAGCCATTGACTTCTGTCTCCCAGAATCACCATTAGCAGAAAGCTGGAATCAGAAGGTAAGCTGCACTGGAACCCAGGTTCTCCAATAGGAAATGCAGCCATCTTAGACACCAGGTCAAACACCCATCTCAGTAACCAGGGCTTCAGTAACAGTGAAGATGCTGAACTAGGGTTCTGAGTTCTACGAAGAAGGAACACTACCAAAGACAAAAGGGCCACTGCCAGGGAGGTTCTGCTAAGGA